TTTCTTGTGCAAGAAATCCCTGCCGAGCGTCCACACTGCCCTCTTGTGCAAGAGCTCCTGTGCAACAGGGTTTACACCTGTTAAAAAAGAGCGCAGCTCTTGCGCAAGAAGCCCTCTCTTACCACGCCGTACTGTAAATTTTCTTGCTCAAGAGCAGGCAGGCAGTGTGGACGCTCTGCGGATTCTTGTGCAAGAATGGCCGTACTTGCGCAAAAAGCCGCGAGTGTAGACGTAGCCCTATTGTGGTTACTGAGCAATGGAAGTGGTACCTAGACCACAGCAACAGTTAAGACCAAGAGATCTCTACAGCATGGGCTAGGAGCCAGCTGGCTTTTAGCTCAGAGAGTAGAGGCTCCTATACTCCACTTCAGAGGTCCCAGGTTCAAATTCACCTGGTGGTGGTTACATACACTTGCAGAGTTTTTGTGCCGTCAGTTTTATCAGTGATAGGGAACCTGTAAAAGTCAAGCCCTGGTTTGCGTTCTCACTTATTTCCACAGGCATCAGATCATGTTCACACTTCCAGTACTTCTGTCACCAGTAAGAACAGTTATCCCACTGATCTGCTCTCTCCATTCTGAGGACAGGTCTTATGGGACGGGTCAGTGCACAGGCGACTCACAGGGAATGCGTGCATGTGCACAGGGCTCAGCATTGCTCCAAGCTGAGGATTGTGTGCTCTGTGGAGCAGCCATTAGCATGTGGCTTGATGAAAAGTGAGCACTTGCCAAGAAAACAGGAAGGGGAGTTTCACAGTTTTTACAGAGGTAGGGGTAGATGTCTGTTTATCTGGCATCAGAGCAATAGAGCTGGTCAGAGTGGTCACCTAGGCACTAGGAATATTAGAATGTGTTTATTCAGGTGTAATTGCAGAAAATTCCAGCAGTTAGACATGTGCGGAGGGGGATGGGGGAATGGCTGGGAGGGGGCAGCAGAGGGGAACAGGCTGCTGAAGCGCCACAGTGAGTTGGGGAGGGCGGCTCTGCTGCCATCCCATGCCAAACCATCCCTCAATAATCCCCCAGCTCCCATTGATCAGGGGAGGGTAGAGGCTGAGCAGGAGCAGGGATTGGGCCAGGGAAGGGTTCAGACAAGCAGCCCCTGTCTGCGGGGGAGGGGGAGGGTGTTCCAGGATACAGAGGCAGCAGGGAGGTGGGAAATGTGAGTGGTCCACTCGACTACCCGATAAGCCTCAGATTATTGGGTAGTTGACTACTCAGTTAGTTGCTAACATCTCTAGTAGCTACTGAATGACTTTGCCTATGCTCCAAAAAGGTTGTTTGTTTAGGTATGTCTGGCTCAGCAGGGAGCTTAAAGATAACCTGTATGAGTCCTTGGAGCTTCCTCTGCTATTCGGCCCTGGCCACATGTAGACTTGGCTTGCTTTAGGTCCTGTTAATGGGCAAGAACAATAGTAGAGCGTGGCAGCCTTACATGATCTGAGTAAGCACTGTTCTCCACATATAAAATTGACAGAGGAGGGGTGAGGGGGGAAGGTTAGTGTCTGTCAGGTAATGACATTAGGGGTGATAATTGGGGAAGCTTTCTTTGTAATGGGTGAGATAATTAGCATCTTTGTTAAGACCCATACGTAACGGCTACGTCTACACTGGCATGCTTTTCCGGAAATGCTTTTAACGGAAAAATTTTCCGTTAAAAGCATTTTGGGAAAAGCGCATCTAGATTGGCCACGGACGCTTTTCCTCAAAAAAGCCCCGATAGCCATTTTCACGATCGGGGCTTTTTTGCGGAAAACAAATCTCTGCTGTCTACACTGGCCCTTTTGCACAAAAGTTTTTTGGAAAAAGACTTTTGCCCGAACGAGAGCAGCGTAGTATTTCCACAAAAGCACTGACAATCTTACATGAGATCGTCAGTGCTTTTGCGGAAATTCAAGCGACCAGTGTAGACAGCTGGCAAGTTTTTCCACAAAAGCAGATGATTTTGCGGAAAAACTTGCCAGTCTAGACACAGCCAAAGTGTCAAATTTAAGAATGAATGATAGTTCTGAGGCTTCTCTTTGAAGTCTGGAGTTAAAATCTCTTTGAAGCAATATGCATGTTTTAAGATCATTGAGAGAATGGTAAGTCTGGTTAAAATAGCAAGCAAGAGATCCTGATGTCTGTTTTATGTGCATTGATTCTTTGGCGAAGTGTCTGAGAAGTTTGTCCAATATACATAGCAGATGGACACTTTAGGCACACGATGGCATAAATTATATTTCTGGATGAACAGGAATATGTGTTTTTGATCTTGTAACTGACAGACACTAACCTTCCCCCCTCAGCCCTCTTCCGTTCTTAAATTTGATTTGTCAATTTTATATGTGTTCACTTTTTTTTGTATTGTATCACTTTGGTATATATGGTCATGCCAATTTTCTTCCATATATTGATCTGAGGAAGTGGGTCTGGCCCATGAAAGCTCGTCACCTAATAAACCATCTTGTTAGTCTTTAAAGTGCTTCATAGTCCTGACTTTTGTTTCAGCTACACCAGACTAACACGGCTGCATCTCTGTCACTGTTCTCCACAGTCCTTTATTGCATGAGAGAAGGATGTATCTTCAGTGAAGTGGACTGAGCCAGGCTGCCTGCCCGCCAGCTTCTAAAATATTTTCCTTGCAGAGCCACAGCAGGGGTAGCCCTGGGACTAGCACAAGTTGGGACTGAGCCAGGCTGCCAGCCAGTCCACTAAAAAATTTACTGGCAGAGCCATGGGGTGGGGATGGGAGATATCTGCATGTAGCCAATAGAATTAATCGATAAGCATCCACTTATCAGTTAATCCTTTAACCAGCTACACTATTACAACCCCACTAAATAGCACTGGCAGAACCGTATACATTTTGGCTACATCTAGACTGGCATGATTTTGCGGAAATACTTTTAACGGAAAAGTTTTTCTGTTAAAAGTATTTCCGCAAAAGAGCGTCTAGATTGGCAAGTGCCTTTGCGCAAAAGCATCCGTGCCAGTGTAGACGCTGTCTTGCACAAGAAAGCTCCGATGGCCATTTTAGCCATCAGGCTTTCTTGCACAAGAAATTAACGTTCCTGTCTATACTGGCCCTCTTGCGCAAGTATTCTTGCGCAAGAGGGCTTATGCCTGAACAGGAGCATCAAAGTATTTGTGCAAGAAGCACTGATTTTGTACATTGCAAAGTCAGTGTTCTTGCGCAAATTCTCGCGGCCAGTGTAGACAGGCAGCAAGTTTTTGCGCAAAAATCTTGCCAGTCTAGACGCACCCATTGAGCAGGGTGGGAATAACACAGTGTAGCAGGAGGGCCCCAAGGATCTACATTCATTTCAATAAATAAAAGTGACAGAGAAGACTGAGGCACCCATTCTTCATTAAACTTGAGCGACTGTTTAGGAAACATTGTAGTTTATACTCTTACTTGTCAGCTGCCCCTGATCTCGCCGACATGGAATCAGTTCTGCTTCAGCATCTAGAGCTTACGCTTTTGAAAGACAGCTGTGCTGATTGTTTCAAATATGCCGGCTTGCTCCCTTTTGAATGTTAGGAAAAGTATCTAACTTTGGTTTTCCCTTTTGATTGCATTAAATACAAACTGGTCTTTTGTTGTTGTTGTTTGTTTGTTTTGTAGTCATAATGGTCTGATTTCCTTCATAGTGTCCATAATCTTTTTAAGAAGGAGACTAGACTGCTTTTGTATTATTTCAAATCATTCTTTTAGAATCTTGGTATTTTTTTAAACATATTAATTTAAAATGTATTTGTTTTAAATTAAGCTTTTTTTTGTTGGGGGAATTAATGCTATAAGGTCTTAAATATCATAATAATGATGCCACATACTGTTTTTTTCTTTTAATAGAAAGTGTTCCTTTAAGCCTCTTATTCCCAAGGGTACAGAACTTAATTTGGTGCTTCTGCTAGAAGGTTATTTTTATATAATTGTTCTGATCACTCATATAAAATATCAGGTAACAAAATGAGAATGTGGCACTGTATTTAGTGAAATTCACTTAAATATTTACATTTTTACAAAGGGTTAAATACCCAGTACAAAATATTGCTTTATTATAGAAATACCTTATCCACAAGGTGGATACACTTTACTGTTCATAAAAGTTTAGTATGATTCATCAAGAACTGCACCCCTCCAGTTTTGAAGAATAAACTGAATGACAGTTTGCATTGTGGACAGAAGGATGCAAGTCAGGGTACACTCCTGGAGACTCAATCATGCAAAACACAAAATATCACAGAGTAGGGTCCCAGTCCTTTAGTCCCAAGTCCAGTGAAAGTCCCTCACAGTGTCTCTCATCTTTAACACTACTATGTAGCCTTCCCAGCTTCTTTTGGCCCTAATGCCCCAACCCATCCAGGGACTTAAGTACATGCTTAACTTAATAGTCTCACTAAAACCAATTTGATTAGACGTGTATTTAAAGGGTTTTACTGAACTAAAGTCTATAGTGCCCTTCCTGAATAGAGATGCTTAAGCATGTGCCTAACTTTAAGCACAATTTAAAGTTTCATTGTAGTTAATTGGATTTAAGCATGTATTTTAAAGCTAAGCCCATGCTCAAGAGAGGAGGACTTAAATATGTGCCAGTGTGTTTTCATGCCCACATGAGGATCAGTTGAGCAAATCCAAGAAGACATATTTTTTTGCAGTTGCAGGGAAGCGCTCATCTGTGGACCTCCTTACTTTATCCTCTTTGTTTTATTTTGGTTATGAGATAGATGTGTTATAATTACCAATACCAGCATGGTGCACATTTCTTTGACTCACCTGAGTTCGGTTTCATTTCTGTTCTGAATGGGTAAAACAAACTATTAAGCTTTATAGAATGTATGTCTATAACTATTTTGAGAAGCATAATTCTATATTGTAGAAGTTATCTAATCTGACATTGTGTTGTATGTTTTATTAATTTTATTTTCTTATTTCACCTGTCTTTGAGGGTAGCTATAGGTAGTGTTTCTGCTCCCATCTTAGGAAAAGTGTATTTATTACTGGCTTCTGTTTTCCAGGGATATGAAATTAGAAATAGGACGCCAGTGCCATTCTACTGGAGGAGTGTATTTAAAAGAGATAATTGGTCTTGAAGGTGTGGAACTAGGGGCTGATGGGAAGGTAAGAATGCTAGCTTATTAGATCTAATTTTATTATGAAAATGTAAAGTAACCAAAGCCAAGTGCAAATTACGTGTTGCATTGTAATCTAAATAATGTAAGAGAGTAGGTTACAATGCAGTACATTCTAAATTATTATAAAACAAATAGAAAAAAAAGTGTACAAGCTGTCAGTGCAAACCCATTAGGTTTTTTCCCCCGAAGAGTCATTTTCTGATCATAATTAGGGCTAAAAATGATTAGCAAATCCAACAGCACTGCTCTGTCCTCGTCAGATCATACTGACGGGTGCTAGAAAATCATGTGTCCGGTGGTATTACAGACAAACAGTATTATAGCTTCCTTTTTAATCTTAGTTAATCTTGAACATAATATATGACAGTTAGAGAACTTGTGTGCTGTGTGAATTCCTCAAAAATCCATCAATACTTGCTTGAATACAAAAATTAATTCTAAAACTTTATGGATTTTTAAGCACAGAAAATATGACTCATGTTTTTGTGCTGAAAACTTGATTCAACTAGTGGTATTCAGATGAGCAGTAATAGAAACAATACCCTGCTATTTGTTTCGAAAGAGGAATGTAGTCTAGATGCACCCACACTGAACTGCTTAAACAATTGGCAGACCAAAAATAATTTGGTGAAATTATTCCATGATTCATTTTCAGGGTTCGACAAATTATGGAAAACTCTACTCGCCAGACAAAAAAGGGACTTGCCACCCTCACCCCAAAAAAGTGTTTTTTTAATGGCATAAATTCCTAATAAGAATAATAACAGTAATTACTAATATGTTCTTAATAAATATCACCCAAGTTATTAATAAATATCTTATAAACCTCTATCTTTTCCCTCTGCTGCCATGTCTCCTCCCCTTGCTCCATCAGCTCCCCTGGTGCCTGCTGCCTCCCAACCCCTCACTCTCCTCTGCTGTCCTGACTCCTGCCCTTCTCACTGCCCTCAGCCCTCCTGAGACCTGCCCCCCTCCGCCAGCCCTTCTCTGCCCCCTGTGCCCACTCCTCCAGTAGCCCCACTCTGATCATGTGAGCTCTCTTTTGTTGGTCTCTCCCCTTCAGGTGCCTGCCCTTCTGCTTTACCCCCAAAATCTCCTGGCACCTGCACCCTCCTGGTGCCTCCCCCTTCCCTCACTGCCCCTGCCCCCTTTGCCCTCTTTTTCCCTGATGCCCACCCCCTCACCACTCTCTGCCCCCATTGCCCTCATGACCCTGTGCCCTCACACATGCATTGCTCCATTTCCACCTTCCTCATGCCCACCCCTTCTTTCAAACCTTCTCCCAGCACCTTCCCATCCCCCCTCTAGATGCCAGTGCCCTTACCCTCTCCTCTCCCAGCATCACCCTGTTCCCCCCTCCCACTGACACCTCCCCTCCTGCCCTTTTCCTCATTGTCTCCACTTGGCCCCCTGGGATTTGTGTCTCCTGCACCGCTGTCCCTTGGTGCCTTCCCCTTTCTTCTTCTTCTTCTCCTCCTCCTCCCCTACCCTCCCCTCAGCACAAGCCCCTTCCCCATATTTTTCCTCTCCCCTCCCCTCCCCACAGCACAGCCCAGCCGCCCAGCTCCTTCCCCTCCCCCAGGGCCAGCTCTAGGTTTTTTGCTGCCCCAAGCAAAACATTTTTTTGGCCGCCCCCCCTCCCCTTTTTTTGTTGTCTTTTACACGTTTGCATTTTGCAATGGTTTTTTTTTTTGTTTCTTTTCATTTTTGTCCTGGCATTTTAGCCCTATAAATAGCAAATAGCATTTTCATTCATTTTTTTTCCATAAAGGCAAAGGCGCTTCAAGTGAACTCCCCCTTTCACTCTGCTGGGTCACAGCAGCCTTTTCCCTGACCTGTCCAGCTCCTCCCTATGGACAAGCACCCCTCACTCCCAACCCACAGGGGGAGCACAGAGCCAGAGGGGGGCAG